CAAAAAAGCAAGCCAATAAAAACATAGTTGCAATCAATTTCATAATTTAAATCTAGGTTTCATTTTTTTCATTGAATTCTAATTAACTGACTGCTTTTCTCCACTCTACTAATTAAAAATATTCAATTGCTAAACATAAAACCTATGGACACAAAATATTCTACATGTTCTTACATTGTTTTAATCTTTTAAAACAAGCATTTTCACATATTACTGCTACATTTGGTTTTTTCAAAGAGACAAAAATGTTCTTAAAACTCTAGAGACATAAATGTCATCTTTGATAAAAGAACATGTTATCTAGTCCCAACTTCATCTCCATGGCTCTGCCTCCAGGCACTGTGTGCTCCTGCAGAACCAGACTACTTACCAGTCTCATACTTGTTCCCTCACCTCAGCTTTTTGATTCACATTCCCCACTTGGAGAAATCCAACCAGTTCTTCAAGGTCCAGGGCAAACATTCTCTCTTCAATGTCTCTTTTCCAGTCCTCTTCCCTGAGTAGAACTGATATCTCACCTCTGCTTCCACAACTCAGATGCAGCCTTACTGGGTGCTACCTGGCACCCAACTACATGAGTCTGCATCCTGGACAGAAACCGAACTACTCCCTTCAGCATACCCTCACAAGTGGACAAACATCGTAAAGCTTTTTGAATCAGTGGATGCTCAGTAAAAGCCACATCGACTTTAGCACCATTTGGTACAATATGATACCAAGTCATTACGAAATGCAAGGTCAAGAATTAAGCCCTAGAGAGAACCAAGATGGTGGCATAGGTAAACACCAGAAATTGCTGCCTCCCACAACTTCAAAAATACAACTAAAAGACAAAACGGACACCATCCAGAACCACAGGAAGGCTGGCTGAGTGGAAATTCTACAACTAGAAGGAAAGAGAAAAGCACACTGAGACTCAGAGGAGGTGCGGTGGGGAAGTAAAGTGCAGAGGTACGGAGGTGCACGCGGCAAGGGCTGGCAACCGAGGACTCGGCTGTCTTTTTGAATCAGGAGGGAGTAACAAGCTCCTGACTGCTCTGAACTCCAGTTCCGGGAAGTCTCTGGGGACCCAGACTCATACGGGGAGAAACTGGACTGTCTGGCAGTGGGCAGAACTCGGAACTCAAGGGCGGCTTTCTCTCAGAGGTGCTTGCAGCGATTACCAGGACACTGAGACACGGGGGCCTCTTAGGGCAGAACTGAGGATCAGCCATAGCTGTTTGCTCCACCCTGTTGATTCCCTGAGACCCCGCCCCACCCAAGCTGCATGCAGAGGCTTTTGCGTATGAATGCCCTGGCCCTTTGCAATCTGAAAATTACCTAACAAACTGCAGCTGGGCCAGACAGACCCAGAACTTCCAAGAGAAGGCCCAAGGCCCCATAGCAGCTTGCATTGCTTCACAGCTGGGCCTCATCTGGGCACCTCCAAACCCCCAAAAAGGAAGGGGAATCTGCAGATCTCTTCGTAGCTCCTGCTGGGTAGCCTCAGGCAGAGGCTAAATTAGCACCTCCTTAGATCCAAGAGCCAGTGTACCCAGTGGTCAGAGTGGGACCATCCAGATTACAACTCCTCAGATCCATAAGGGACACACTCAGGGGGCAGACTCAGTGAGCACCAAAGCCCCACTGAAGCAAGTCTTGCCCCAGAAGGGTGTCTCCAGCACAGAAGCTCTCCCACTGCAGACACAGCTGATTCTCACTGCCAATTGGCCTGGAGGTCAATTCCTCCCAGTGATACCTACAACAATCAAGGCTTAACCACAACAATACTGTGCACAAAGCCCACAAAGGGGTGCACGAAGAGTGTCCACCTCAGGTAATTGGGGAGGCTGAGCCACTGGGCCCTATAGGACACCTAGCACAGAAAGCCACTCTACCAACACAGGGAAGCATAAAAAATGCGGAGACAAAGAAACAGGTCACAAATGACAGAAATGGAGGAAAGCAAACGACTGGATATAGAGTTCAAAACCACGGTTATAAGTTTTTTCAAGAATTTTCTAGAAACCGCCGATAAATTTAGTGAGACCCTGGAGGATATGAAAAAAGACCAACTAGAAATTAAGCATACACTGACTGAAATAAAGAATAATATACAGAGATCCAACAGCAGACAAGAGGATTGCAAGAATCAAGTCAAAGATTTGAAATACAAAGAAGCAAAAAAAAAACCCAACCAGAAAAACAAAAAGAAAAAAAAATCCAAAAATGTGAAGATAGTGTAAGGAGCCTCTGGGACAACTTCAAGCGCACCAACATCTGAATTATAGGGGTGCCAGAAGAAGAGAAAGAGCAAGATATTGAAAACCTATTTGAAGAAATAATGACAGAAAACTTACCCTACCTGGTGAAAGAAATAGACTTACAAGTCCAGGATGCACAGAGAACCCCAAACAAAAAGAATCCAAAGAGGACCACACCAAGACACATCATAATTAAAATACCAAGAGCAAAAGACAAAGAAAGAATCTTAAAAGCAGCAAGAGAAAAACAGTTAGTTACCTACAAGGGAGTACCCATACGACTGTCAGCTGATTTCTCAATAGGAACTATGCAGGCAAGAAATATTCAAAGTGATGAATAGCAAGAACCTACAACCAAGATTACTTTATCCAGCAAAGCTATCATTCAGAATTGAAGGTCAGATAAAGAGCTTCACAGATAAGAAAAAGCTAAAGGAGTTCATCACCACCAAACCAGTATTATATGAAATGCTGAAAGGTATTATTTAAGAAGAGGAAGAAGAAGAAAAAGGTAAAGATACAAATTATGAACAACAAATACATATCTATCAACAACTGTATCTAAAAATCAAGTGAATAAATAATCTGATGAACAGTATGAACTGGTGATTGTAATAGAATCAGGGACATAGAAAGGGAGTGGACTGACTATTCTTGGGGGGAAAGGGGTGTGGGGGATGTGGGAAGAGACTGGACAAAAATCGTACACCTATGGATGAGGACAGTGGGAGGGGTAAGGGCAGAGGGTGGTGTGGGAACTGGGTGGAGGAGAGCTATGGGGGGAAAAAAGAGGAACAAATGTAATAATCTGAACAATAAAGATTTAATTTAAAAAAAAAGAATTAAGCCCTATTTGGAGATAATTAAGGCAGAGCAGTCTTCACTTCCTTCCAAGTTTGGACATAATTTTTTAGTAAATGGTTCTTAATCATCACACAATCCCACTATTTAAATGAAACTTTTCCACTCTCATAACCTATTTGAGAACTGTTCAACAAAGTGTGTGAGTGTTATGTATTATCAAGAATTGATGGCTCTAAACCCAGAGCACAGAAAAGGCGAAAGATCTACACAAGTCATACAGCTCATCACAAGGGCTAAAACATAATTCCATTCATATTCTATCCACTACCTCCTAACACGAAGGACCTGAGTGAACACCAGTAACTTTCAAAAGTATCTAATTATGCTTGGTATAGAGTAAACGTTCAAATATTTGAGTTAATAGAGATAATTTAAGATATCTCTAGTTGTGGCAGTTTATGTACAATGGAGACATCATTAATCCTTAATCACGCAGATCATATTGACAGACTATTTCAAAGCGTACTCAGAACCAAAACTTCTGTTCTTGGGAAGGGCACGGACCAGAAACCCTCCATCAGAGCCGCTTTTCCCTGCTTCGTTCATTCCCAGGGCCACAACAGACTAAACGTTATATAGCTCACCCCATTTTCTAATTTCAGCTTGCATTTAAGATAACGCTTTTGTTTCACTTACAGCTCACATGCTTCTGACACAGCTGCCCCTTCTTCGAAATAAACACAAGGCTTCTATATTTAAAAATACAGTGAAACTTTGTTAAAGCATCCCCTTCCCAGTCTCGGGCCAACGTTCTCTCCCAAGCCCCGCCTCCGCCCGCGGTTATCTATCATCGGCGCCCCAGGCGCTGTACTCCTTGGAAAGTCAGTTTTCTTTTTAAAACACATCTCATCGCAGTGGTATTTTTCTTCGCAGCTCGTGTGTGTGTGTGTGTGTGTGTGTGTGTGTGTGTGTGTGTGTGTGTGTAGTTCTTTAAAGGAGGGGAAATAAAAGATTCCCTTTCCCAGGCCAAAGAATCGGAGGGGCTGTGAACTGCAGCCCGTGCCCCGAGATCTAAGTTGGGACAAACTCGCCGGCCAGCCTCGGGCTCGGGCTCCGCGGGAGACCCCGGCGGCTGCGCGGCGGGTTCCACGGCGACTGGCAGCCGCGCTGACAGGAACAAGCTCGCCGCGGGCACCGCCCGCCCCAGGCGAGCGCCCCCCGGGAGGCTGCTTTGTGCCGGGAAGGGGTGTCGTTACCCCCCGTGATGAGTTTACGTGGGCTCCTAGCTGGGCGCGGCTCCCCGACCGGCCGAGGGCCGGGGCGAACACGCCCCGCGTCGCTCGGGACGGTCGGAAGGGGGCGGCCGAGGAGGCTGTGGGTCTGAGAGGCGCGCGGGGCGGAGGTGAGGCGAGGCCGGAATTCACCGTCCACCTCCCGAGCATCTGGGAAAGGACGGCTAGGGACCGGAGCGGCGGGAGGGCAGCCCCAAGGAAAGTGAAACTCCTTCCCGCCGGTTCAGCCCCGCCGGGAGGTGAGGGAGCCGAGCGCACTCGCTCTGCAGCCCGCCCGGCGCAGCACTCGTGACTCCCGCAGCCCAGCCCAGCCCAGGGCACGGCGCAAGTAGCAAGCACACTGTCTCCT